AAAGCTCTTCCGACAACTCCTTTCATAGCACCCTAGAGCTGCACCTTTCAGTCCGCAACAGCAGCATTTAATTCTTCGACTTCTAGATAACTCAGCTTCCAGGTTAATTGCAGTATCATTTTCAAAGTAAACATTAGGAGCCCTGCAAACACAATTTTGGTTCAGGATTTTATATTAAAAGATATTAGTTATTCCCATCGAGCACTGGAGCAGAAATCAGAACCTTAACTTGTTCAAAAACTTGACTCATGTCTGTTGAAGATTTGAATTTATGTAAGATATCCATTATAAGGAATCACAGTTTTGCAACAATAGCACCAAACTTTTAGTATCTAGTGTATTATGTATTTATGCACTGACATGTAGAAAAGCAGATTTATCAGCAATCACATTAGTCAGAAAGCAACTATAATCGTTGAAAGAGAAGTCCATTTTTCTAAACACATCTACGACAAAACGAATTAAAAATGTGTTACAGGAGTTGCAATGTGTTTAAGGTTTTCATCTTAACTCATTTCCAAGCAGTAGATTATAGTCTACAACACATCTTGTGTCAATGAACAAGTAGAAATGCTCAAGACAGTCAAGAAAGATCCCTGCTTACAATAGAACTCAATAAACAAAGGTAATCAATGCCTTACTGCTTATAGAGAAATTGAATTTAACAGATGGTAAGGGAACAAATGTTCAATGTGTGATGAACAAATTTACATTCCCTTTTCCGTAGACAAATATACACATAGATGTATCTGTCCACAAAAAAATAAGCAAACATCCTAACTAACTGAATGTTTGCATATGACAATGCAACAAATTTTAAAAATTAATGGACCATCATCAAAATAAAAAACAAGTTGCTGAATCAAAAATGAAGAAAATTGAAAACTAAGACAAGCAATAAATCTTTTGTTGTTTAACTAAGATTTATGTCGAACAAATCCTGACAAAGGATAATTATATTCTACTTCTTTTCCTTTAATGCTATGGGAAGATTCCATTACCATTCAGTGCAGTTTTTGTGTGAATGTATAATCTTGGATCCTCCTTCATAATCTGCAGAGACAGGCCTGCCATTGTAGTAGTGAAACATCTCTCCTGAAACCTGTGATGTTTAATTGCCAATTAAAATACATGTTTATCACAATGAAATATTTGGCATAAAACATGAGGCACTCTCTAACCTCCGAGTCTTCTGAAGAAAGGCAAAAGGCACATTGAATTTTATTGGCTAGGATTGCACATTTGCGCAAAGCCACCTCATTTGTCAGAGGAAGGTTTTTTACTATTGACGAGCCATTCAGAACTTGAGGAGCAGAACTACATGAAACTTTTTCAAGCAACTGAATTTCCTTCAACAAAATGTTCTTATGACCGTGACATTCATTAACCAAGCCAACTCTTGATACATCATCGAATGAAACTTTCATCTTTTTCTTAGATCTCAGTTCTTTATTGCATTTTGAAGTAAAAGTAGAGTCAAATTCCCTGGCTTGTTTGCTATGTTTTTCCTTCAAATCATAGATGTTCTTGCCATCAGTTGATGGATCAGATGAAAAGGTTTTCTGAGGGAGCGATCTTTTGTTTGTCTGTTTTCGAAATTCTGAATCTTCTCCAGTGATGTTAGTTTTAACAGAATGCACTTTTCGTTCCTTTGACCTCTGAGAACAAGCATCTCCATGCAGCATATCATTCTTACTGCTTTCTCCACTATTTTTCATGTTAGTATCTTCAACTGCATCTGGTTCCTTAAACATTGTAGTATTTAACTGATTGACCATATCTATTTCACCCTTGTCTAGCAATTCAGCTCTGTGAGAAGCAAAAGGAGCCTTCCGAGGTGAATCAGACTCATAGATATTGTTACCAGCCTTTTCATTCCCCGTTATCTCCAAATTTACAGGATTAACACTTCCTTCAGCTCCTTTTGAAATAAAATTTTCAGGTTTCTTTTTGGGATCAACAAGACTGCTAGAAGCTTGACCTTTACTTTTTTTAGCAGACTTCCTTTTGATATTTTTCCTCGCCTTTATAGATCTACTGCTGAAGTTACCACTCTTCATTTGACTACTGGTAATTTTAGCCTGAATAGATAATATATTTACTCCCCTATCAGAAGCTCCAAGTTCCTGTGTAAGATTAATACTTTCTAGACCTTCCATAAGTGGTCCTTCATTCATTGCACCTTCTGATTTGCTGTCCTCAAGAACTTCATTGGTATCAGGAACCTGCATTGCACTAGAACTTCAGGGAAAGCAACTGAAACAAGTGCATGAAAACTCGGTAGAAAATTATTACCTTAATCTTTACAGGACTTGAAATAAGCTCGGGGGAACAGGCTCTTTGTGTCCACTCAAACATCTCACTATCAAAAAGATCCATAGTGTTGGATTTGCCATGTACTTTCACCTACAAAAGATTTGCCAAAACATAAGAAAAAGTCAAAACAAAAAAAAAAGTCTTGTTAATGTAACTCCATATTAGCTGAGACCAAACAACTGGTTAAAGCTGGTGGAGAAATGCCAGACGAACTTTGGCATGCAGGCATGGTATTGGAAATAGGGTTTGGTTTTGGAATTAGAGCAGAACATTTTGGCTTGATCAACACGAAATCAGAATAAACTTTGCAAAGCAATGATTAATGTAAAAATCAAGACCCAACTCAATCATAAATATTAAGTCAACTAGATAATGAATTTACATTTCCAGATATTCCCAGAATTGGTCAAAGATAATTGACTCACTTTTAGAGGGCTTTCATCCTCACTATCCTTCAGATCACTGAAGAAGATATTTGCCGTGTATATCCGAAAGTTGATCCTCATAAGAGCTGACTCACTTTCCTCAT